AAGAGCCTTCTTATGGTTTTATATGGGTTTTCAGGAAATCAACAAGAGAAGGGAATTAGCGCCCGGTGAGCCATCCGCAAAGGCCATCGAAAACTACGTAACCTACCGACTCCGTGGAATGAGGCACCTAGGGGTGTAGTAGGGGTGGAACGCCTCGCACTTTTGGGCTTGCTGCGTAAGTATGATAGACAGGGTAGCCAAGCGCGCCTTTGGCATAGGAAACCGGGCGAGACCATGACATCGCGAAATCCGAAACTTGTGAAAATGTCCTCTACACTGAATATCTTTCTTTTTGTGATGGGTTTTGTGGGGCATCTCATATTAAATCAGAGCTGTCACGAAAATCCTTTTTCTGTCACCATTATTCTCAATTTTTTTTATTATTTCAATTCCTAACGATTCCTGTTCATCCTTACTGCATTTACCCTGTGCACGTATCAAGTCAAGAAGAGTTCTGGTAGTTACGAAGATCCCAATAGCCAATGGATGGATATGCGAGTACTTGCAGTTGATAACTTATTCCACATTGAGTATTTATGAATACTCCTTTGTGAACGAATTTTTGAGTCACATTTCACATTTCCTTGGAGATCATCGACGACCGTTCCTTTTTTGTATCACCTGAGAGAAAATCATTTGTCTCACCATCATTGTCTCCTGTGCTCTCTTCAACTTCTGACGTAGGATTTCTACCTCTAAGCCATGAGCATTCGTGGTCATCCGGTACGATGATTTTATGTCATTGTTTCCATTCTCAAGAGATGAGGAGACCTGCTGATCCTCCATTGGTTGAAATTAATCGTCAGACCGTCATATGGTCACATGGTGACCGTCATATGGTCACATGGTGACCGTCATATGGTCACATGGTGACCGTCATATGGTCACATGGTGACCGTCATATGGTCACATGGTGACCGTCATATGGTGAACGTGGGAGGTTGTGTTGGATCTTCGACCAGATTCTCTGTTGGAGCGGCATCTTTTTTCAAGCGCCTGATAGCGTTTCGATCATGATGGGAACCTAAGGAGAAATTATGCGAGCACGCTAAAGCATACCTGGGGTTAGATTTTCTTCCGAGCGATTGAAGCCATTCATTTTCTCTTTCTAGACATTTTGGTAATTCGTGGAAGGAAATATTTCGTGCCTGCCGAGTCCTATAAATATTCTTTGAGAGTGCGACAATGGTATCCTTTCCACTGTCCTTTATATCAACCGCTGCTAAGAGGGTGAATGAAATAAAGGAACCTAGGAAAATCATCGAAATCAACGAGCAGGTCGGCAATGCATGTACGATGCTGCCAAGGTAGCTCTGACGAATGAGAGTAGATGTAGTAAGGCTGTGAAAGACATGAGAAAGTGTGTACGACCTGTCTTGACTTGCTTAAGCAGCGAGGTAAGGGATCATCAAGGCCAAAGCGCCCGTTTTTATAGTGGAACGTTTCGCTGACGTCATCACATGAGCAAGATTTAACCCCCCCCTGGGGGGGTAGTTAAATCTTGTTGAGGGGGGCTCAACAGAACTGGTTCCTCTCCGTCGGTTAAAGCCAGCTTAATGTGATGAGGTCATGTATTCAGGCTAGGGCTCACGCAAGGGGCGTGACCCCTGCCCCTCCCCCTCTTAGCTCCCACCCCCCACAATGCAGTATGATATAAAAAAGACTGCCTCGCTTCCTCACCTGAGACTGCCTGTCCAGCGCTATTCGTTGAAGAGGACATCTGCTCCTTCAACTGTCACTCTACAGTCTCTGGGGCGAATCCACAGGAGAACCTCATTACCCCTCGCTCAGGCCTGTCAATCTTCACCTTTCCCTCCCCTCTTACCTACAGCGTTTTGTTACCACACTCCCGTCACAATTAAATTGGTGACAACGGTCAGATAGTGCTTCTTGTCCTATCCCAATTTATCATACCCGTCCCCCTGACTTTCGCCCCGGCTGTAGCCGTCGGATGCTCAGAAAAAGGCATATTTGACGGCCGCGTTTCTTTCCGCTTCCGCTTGAAACGAGCAATTGAACGACCGCAGACACGGTTGGCGGAACCATGCGCGACGGAGAAAGCGAGGGGAATACAAAAGGAGGCCTCGACTGCCTGCGCTCAAAACATAAAGAGGTAGCAGAATGATCTACGTGGAGGGTCTTTCTGAAATAGACCAAGACCACCAGTTTTTGAACGGACAGCCTGCTCTCTCGGAATTACATAGTGAGGTCGAGGACCCGAATCGCCAATTTCGGGATTTATTTTACATGTTCCAATCCCATCTCGAGCTATGAAAAAAATCGATCGAAGGGAGCAAAGTCCACATTTGTCTCGTTCCTCAAACTCGAACAACGAGCAATCCTCTCGGGCTTCCTCTCGACGCGTTAGGTCAGGAAATTCGCGACATTCAGGATCTCGAACGCCAGTTTTTATTTCGCCGATATTTAATAAAAAGTATGAATATCTCATCGAATAGTGCCGTATATCCTACGTTTAATCGACGCGGCCATTCCCGGAAATTCTGTCCTCTGAATCCAGGTCCCTCTGAGCAACATTTTCCCAGCCAGTCATGCTCAAGTTCTGGAAATGGAAACCAACCTGCATAACGGGACAATCTCTGGTTCCTCGTATCCCTGCCCCTTCCCAAAGTTATTCGTTTTAACCTGGTTATCCCTGATAATCCTGGCAGTAATTGTCATCCTGTCAGTGTTAAGTCCATTCCTGGTCGTACGCCGCCCACTTTCTTCCTGTGGGAATTCCAAGAAATGCGATGACCACGGATTGTTATCTCTCGGTTACGAATGCAGATAGTGAATCGAATTCCGGTTGCCCCCATCAATCTTTCGATCCCCTCCCTCTTTACGTGCCAGGAAAGGTACCAACAATCCGAACCGAATTCTAGGGTGGATATTTGAACGGAGAAATATCCGATAACGCAACTTTATTTCCAGGAAATATAATACTAATATAATTATATTTTCCTTGAAAATGAAGCTGCATTATCGGATAGTGCTCTCTTCAAAAACCATCCTTAATGTTCGACAATCCACGTGCAGAAGCCCATGATCGCCGCAACTCCGCTGTTCTGGCTGGACTCCTTTTGATATCGTACAAACCCAACGTGCATGTCCAAAGCTGTCTCTGATCCTATTTAATAAAAATCCAGGACGACCAACGGTTTCTTTGGAGCGTCGTCTTGCGATGAGAAAATGAGACATGAGAAAGTGGCTCGGCAGAAATCATTACCCACCCAAGAATGGTGAAATCCTTTGCGATGGGCTCATGATGATGCTGAGACGAGCTGGTCATCTCAACAGAGAGAAGACCCTCGCGCGTCTCCAGTCGCTTGTATATTGGCGGAGAATGGAAGACTTTCAGGGATCGGATATTGACCCGTGACACTCGTCAGTCATTCCGGGATAAAACGTTCCTCCACGCGTCAGCCCTAGACATCCGAGTCTATTTTCCCTCCAGTCGGTATGGGCGTGCGACCTAATCGCAGCACTCCCTGCATCCTTCCGCTTTCCTCGCGGAAACGATTATATTCTTGTCGCTTGTGACTTTGGAACCTCTCGGGCGGAAGCGTTTCCCCTTCCCGATTTAACTGCGGAAACGGTCAGCCGAGTTCTGTTGGATCAGATTTTCTTTCGATACGGCATCCCTGAAATTTTTCACTTCGGCCAAGAAGCAAACTTCGAGTCCCTATTACAACAGGAAAATTGCGCCCTTCTTGGCGTTAATGTCGATGTCTATGTGAGTTATACTGCCTTTGGCAACGGGAAGCAGTCTCTTGATTGAGAAATAAGGATGGGAAGATGAGAGTAACATCTCAATAATACGTTACTTCTCATTTAAACGCTTCTCTTCTATTTCTTCCCAAGAACGTGAGTGGGAGTGCCCACCCCCTCGCAGCAGGATATAAAAAGATTGCCTCCCCTCAAATGATCTGGGTTGACTTGCGTGGGACTGTCAGTTCGACACTGCTCGTTCACCCCGAGAAGGCATCCACTGTAGAAGTGTCACTCTTCTCTCTGGAGTGAATCCACAGAAGAACCTCATTACCCCTCGTCTACAGGCTTGTGAATCCCCCCCCCCCCCCTGCCAACCGCGTTTTGATATCGCATCCCCGTCACAATTTCATTGGTGGCAACGGTGTGAGATAGTGTTTCATCAATATCACAATTTATCAGTTCCGTCCCCCTGACTCGCCCCGGTTCTGAATTCAGGTCCTTGACGCCATCGGATGCTCAGCAAGAAGACAGTCATACATCTCGTTATATGCGGGGGTTGCGTTCCTGAAAATCGCCGCGTATATCGAATCCGCGTAAGACGGACACGTAATAATAGGGTAGCGTGCCCTAACGCGCAAAATATCAATCTTGCCCGTTCGGGAACGCAACCCCCGCGAGCGAGAATACTGTATTAGGCGGTCGCGTTTCTCTCCGCTTCCCCTTGAAACAAGCTATCGAACGACCGAGAATGCGCGGGGAATACGAAAGGAGCCCTCGACAAATCGTGACCGGTACAACTATTAAATCATTTCAGGCTCGTCAATTCAACGGCGTGGGAAAGATAAAGAGATCTACATTGAGGTTCTTTCTGCTTGCCATGTACCCGTGCTACCAGTAGTGTAAGGCGTCAAGGCTCTAGGCTATTAACCATATAGAACAAGTGGTTATCAACATCTCTACTTTTCATAATTCATAACCAAGCCAATCCTTCTGCTAATGACAGCACTTAAATGCTCGGAGACGATACTGGATTTTCAAATGAAACTATTCTTAAACCTTTTTGTGCCCTTCCGGGATAGTATCCGACATCTGTAGAAGATCCTCCTGCTGCAATGCGACTGAATTCACAGCTGAAATTCAGGCTAGAACTTCAGGCAAATGCTAGAACACGACCCGCAGGCTGTCTATCCCCTCTTTTTCACCCAGAGAAGAGTAGTGTGGTGGAGTCTGTCTCTTTATCGATATCAATGATATACAAAACAAATAGTAATGATTAGGAACAGAGCATTATGTCTTTTAGAATTACAGAAAATCAGTAACATGAAATGAAGCAACATGAGCCTGTGGAATAAATGGGGATGGGCGGCGACTAGAAACACTTGCGGTGAACAATTGATGGTCCGGATTCGTCGTATTCCTTCTTGGAGATCCACATCTGCTGGAATGTGGAAAGAGATGCCAAAACTGACCCTCCAATCCAAACTGAATATTTCCTATGAGGTGGAGCAATGATTTTGATATTCATGCCAGATGGAGCCAGGGATGTTATCTCCTTTTGCATACGATCTACAATTCCTGGAAACATGGTGCTCCCTGCAAAAAAGAAATATCAAAAGTGCCTAATTCTGCTAAAGGTTGAGATTCTGAGAACATGCTTTTGATTTTGCTTAACCTTTATCGTACATGCGTACATTTATTTGCACATTAACCTTTATCGGACGAAGGTCGCAACTTCTGTGCCACTGAATGCATTTTTCAGTGTTTTCGAAAGATACAAATACTACCACAACTTCTGGGGAAAATGCTCTGGTATTGAATAATTGCTCAGTTTGCGAGTGCTTACGAGCTTCGTAGAAAATATTTGACTGTCAGCGCTTACACAGGAGATTTAAATCCGTCCGACGAAGGTTAATGGGATGCCCGACCTCCAGAGAGCAGCATGTTGGCATAGAAGTCCTTCCGGAAATCTTCGTCGCACTTCATGATGGAGTTGTAGAAGATTTCATGGATACCACAGGATGCCATGCCCAGGAATGAGGGTTGGAAGAGAGCCTCAGGGCAACGGAGGCGCTCATTTTCAATCACGATCACCTGACCGTCAGGCAGCTCATAAAACTCTTCCAGACTCCTGTCACGGGCAGCTGTTTCCATTTTCTGCTGGAAGTCCAGGGCAACAAAGCACAGCTTCTCCTTGATACCCCGCACATATTCTCTCGCAGCTGCGACAAATAACCATCCATCACAACTGAAACACTCAGCCTATATTGAGCAATGATAACATGGGAATACTCTAATCACTTCGTCAAGGATAACATGACAGCTGCAGGCACTCAGATAGCACCCTGACATCGTAATAATGTGTAAAAGTAGTACTGTTGTATGGATGTGGTATGTTACTCTGATGTGACATGTTAAGAAAACCTCGTCACAACAGGAGACAACTAAGAAAATATGCCGCAAGGGAAAAAATTCAATAATTTCGACGAAGAATTGTCACGAAGCTGTCAAAATGTTTAGAGGCCTTTCAATCATTCCTGAAAAGCATGAAGTCCCGCCCCAAAGTTTGCCAAATTCCTGTTGAGATAAAAATTAATGGCGGTGCTTCTCTAATACGTATACCAAAACCAAAAGTAGATTGTCGAGGTTTGCTCAAAGAAACAAAGGAGTGCTGAAGTTGTATTCACTTTATGGCAATATTTACGCAACAGACTCACCATCTGAATATGTTCTATCAATCGATGCGAGGTGGCGTCTCACTGCCGATTAAGGGATTCTCACTCTGATGCTACTGAATTGATTTTTTTTTAATGCTACACCCGATCTTTCCCCACGTAAAATCTGGGGGTAGACTTTGGAAATTTTGAATAGTCCCATTTAAAGAGGTAACCGGCAAAAGGAGACTTCGGGTACTTATGACATCATTGCAGGATGCCTAAACTTCAGACTTCCCATGTGGCGTACATCTTGACCAGAGTTTCGTTCTATCGTATAAAGATAAATGAGCATTTTATAAGGAATGCGATGGCGTGTCGCGCTCTCCTTCAGTGAAGGACATACGAGTACCTCTCAGTGTATTGCAAGACTTGTCACTTCTCAGTTGGATGGAACCAGATGTTTCGTACGAAATCACATCTTGGACTTAATCCAGTAATGGATATTATAGTTATATTATTTATTATATATACGGAATAAATCGCGGTTTGATATTACTCAGGGCTACCAACGGTGCTACTCTCTGCGCTCTCTTCCTTCTCTCTATTATTGGGGGAAGGTGTATAACACAAGAAAGCTGGTATACAGAGTCTAAAGGCCTGCCTTTTCCAGTCAATAAATTCTTATGAGTACTCAGGTATACTATAAGATTTTTGGAAATATTTTTTAAGCCAGGCTGAAGGTAAAGATACTCATGGTCATTATTTGG